TCAGGACAGTATGGACAATCACCATGGGATCATTTTTCCATTGCAATGAGATTTTTTTTTAATTATTATTTTTTATTACAGGGAAACATTCAAGCTGACTGCAGAAAGCCACATTAAATCCCATGCAGATATAGACCTTCTCGCTGCTCAGAGTAACCTGTTGCCCATTCAGGAAGAGGAAACCCAGTGCAGGGACTTCACCTGATTTTTTTGTCAGTCCTTCAGAGTATGGAAGAATTAATTCTACTCACCCAAATGACTGAAAGAGCTTTACACATTTTTAAGATGGGAATGCAAATAGGGACAGTTTGATCCAGCTGCAGGCCAGGCCTCCTGAGTACAAAGCCCACAGCCTTATTAACCAGACTATACTGCTTCCTTTAAAGTTGGCAGATAAAAAGTAAACCAAGCCACCCTCTCTGGGATCATCCTCAAGTGTCCCTCTGTGCTCTTGCTCCAAGCACAACCTGCAGTGCTCCAGACTCTGCAGCACAGTTCAGACAGTGAATCTACTTCCAAGGGAGCTATCCTGGCCCAATGAATGCTACAGTCATAGACACATTCCCTGCCACAGAGCCTTCACCATCTATTCCAGCCTGTAAATGCAATAAAAATGAACATAATCCACAAGTCAATTATAAGAAGTAAAATAAAAGTGATTTAACTGTAGATCTTTTACTCAGTACAGGGGCTGTGCTTTCATTTACAAATGTTTCAAACAAATCATGCAAGTACTCTTCTTCTTCAATAGTTATGGAAGAAACCTAAACTCCCTTTTTCTGTATCTCTTTTTATCCTTAATGGAAAATTCAAGAATGTGCTTTTGAAAGAATCTGTCCTCCTGCTGCCTGAGTGTCCTGTGCCACAATACAAGATGGGTTACTGACTGTGCTGAGTCAACCTGTGTTACTAACTCCCTCCCTCATGATGAGTAAGACTGGTAAACTGGTAACAAAGGACAAGAAGAAGGTTGAGGTATTCAACAACTTTTTGCCTCAATCTTCACTGGCAGGCTCTCTCCCCACACCTCTTGAGTATGTGAACTGCAAGGCAGAAACTATGGAAGCAAAGTTCCACCCACTGTAAGTGAAGATCAGGTTTGTGACTATTTGAGGAAGCTGAACGTACACAGATCTATGTGACCTGCTGAGATCTTGAGGGAATTGGCTGATGCAGCTGCCAAACAACTCTCCATGGTATTTGAGAAGTCACAGTGGTCAAGTGAGGTCCCTGGTGGCTGAAAAAAAAGGCCAATAGCACACCCATTTTTAAAACCTGTAGAAAGGAGGACTGGGAACTATCAACCTGTCAGCTCACCTCTGTAACTGGGAAAATCATGGAACAGATCCTTCTAGGAGCCATGCTGAGGCACATGGAGGGCAGGGAGGTGGCTCAAGACAGCCAGCACGGCTCCATTAAGGCAAGTCATGTCTGACTAACCTAGTGGCCTTCTATGATGGAGTTACTACACCAGTGGACGAAGGAAGGACTATGGATGTCATCTGTCCGGACTGGTGTAAAGCCTTGTCAGGATCCGACTGGAGAAAACCCCAGTGTTGGACCTGTTTTGTTCATGATCCCAAGAGTGAAATTCAGAATCAAGTGGAGGTCAAGTACCGTAATTGACCAGTTGGTTTATTACAAAAGACAATTATTATAAAAAAGGAAATTATTAAAAAAAACAGACAGCAATAGGACAGATTTAAAAAAAAAAAAGGAAGCAAGAACTCAAAATGCAGAGTGATAGTCACCACTGTGGATCCAGCAGTGTCCTGGAGGTCTGTAGTTATCGTCCTTGGTGGTGGGAGTCCTCCAGAGTCTGTAGTTGGTACCAGAGCAGAGTGTCCCCAAGATTCTGTAGTAGTCATCGAAAATAGGTGTCCTCATGGAGGGTGTCCTTGTGGAGGCATCCTCCCTGGCAATTAACTTTTCCTCCTTTTATTATGTGCCGGGGGGAGTACCTCTGTTCTTAATGTCACGTGAACATACAGGGCGTATGAAAGGCCATGTGGAAGCATCAGCTCCCTGGTGAGCAACACCAGCCAACACAGCACCAGGTGTCAGGAGCACATTCTGGACAGTGCCAGCCTGTTCAGTTCCTGTGCTTACTGCCTGTTACAAACAGCTCACAAAACTACAACTTTGCCAGTGCATGCATGTCCTAGCCTTCTCCATGTTCCGAATATCCTGTGTCAGGGACTTCAGAGAATGATCAGAAACAAAAACATGATGTCTAAAAGGTTCTACTTTTTCCTTCCTTATTGGACTGACTTTAGTAATTGCTTCCTGCTCCTCAACAAAAGGATCATCCCCAAAACAGACTGGATGTGTCTGAAAACACTTTCCAAAAGAACACCACATACCTGCTTTTTTCTGGAATTTGGGGGCAAGTGGTGTCTGAGTGGTTGCTTTTGATTTGGTTTGTTGTTTCTTCCTTCATTTTAAACGTCCCTGAAAGATCCACTATTAGTGTTCATACCATCAGTTCCACTGCTATTACCTCCTCTTCCTACCCCTGATATGCTGAACCTTTCCCTTTCCACCTGCCCCTCACAGGAACACTCAATTTTACATTAAAGCGTAGGTCTTTTTGTCCCCTGACCCTGATGAAACAAACTCTTAACTGATCTTCAGGCTGTTGTTTTTCTCTGATTCTACCCCAGCAGCAGCTGGAGACTCTAAGTGGAAGAGGCATTTGTTGATCTCCTTCACTCCAGAGTCGATGGAGCACTGCTGTTGCTGCTGGCGTGCAGCCTCTTGCAGGGCTGGGAGAGTCCTGGGGGCTGGGGCCTTCTCTCTGGGGTCAGCAGGACCCTGTAGAGGGCGGCTCTTTGGTGGATACTGGCATGTACGTCAGGGAGTGCCTTCTCCAGTCACAGAAAATGTGAATTTATCACTACAGCTCAGGGGTGTTGGTCATAGAATCATAGAACAGTTAGGGTTGGAAAGGACCCTAAGATCACCTAGTTCCAACCTCTCTGCCATGGGGAAGGACACCTCACACTAAACCATGTCACCCAAGGCTCTGTCCAGTCAGCAGGTCAAAGGAGGGGATCCTGCCCCTCCACTCTGCTCTTGTGAGACCTCACCTGGAGTATTGTGTACAGTTCTGATGTCCTTAACATAAAAAGGACATGGAACTGCTGGAACAAGTTCAGGGGAGGGCCACGAGGATGATCAGGGGACTGGAGCATCTCCTGTATGAAGATAGGCTGAAAATGTTGGGTCTGTTCAGCCTGGAGAAGAGAAGGCTGCATGGAGACCTCATAGCAGCCTTCCAGTATCTGAAGAGGGCCTATAAGGATGCTGGGGATGGACTCTTGATTAGGGACTCTGGGGATAGGAAAAGGGGTAATGGGTTAAAACTTAAACAGGGGACGTTTGGATATAAGGAGGAAGTTCTTTACTGTAAGGGTGGTGAGGATCTGGAATGGTTTGCCCAAGGAAGTTGTGAATGCTCCGTCCCTGGCGGTGTTCAAGGCCAGGCTGGACAGAGCCTTGGGTGACATGGTTTAGTGTGAGGTGTCCCTGCCCATGGCAGGGGGTTTGGAACTAAATGATCTTTCCAACCCTAACTATTCTATGTTTCTATGCCAGTATCTGCCAGAGAGCTGCCACATGCCAGCAGCCAGGAAAGAAGAGAACCTCGACACCAGGCCGAAGAAAGCCCCCATTCGCCTCTGGCATCTCTGCTGTTGTTTCTTCAAGGGACACTGTCCCCAGCTGAACAGGAGGCTGCAAGGCAGCAGGCTGTGGGTGGCCTCCTGCCTGCAGTGTGGGCAGAACTATTTCAAAGAGAGGAACACCTCCTCAATCCTGTGCTGCCCTGGCTGTGCCAGCAGCTCCAGGCAATACACGGGGCACAGTGGTGGATAGTAAAGACTGCTGAGAGCACCATCCTGCACGCCCTGTCTATGGTCCAGAGTGGGAGACTAGTGCAGATGCTGCAGCCTGTCCTTGGGGAACACACAGCAGTGCTGGTCAATGGTGTCCTCGGAATCATTGAATGCCAATGCAGTGAGGAGGCCCGGAGGCTACTGTGCTCTAGCACAGTAACACAGCTCCGGCTCCAGCAGCGACCCCGGCAACAGTTCGAGCTCCACCAGTTCCAGGCTGGTGACTCCTGACCCCAAACCAGCCTCCCCCAGCAGCCCTGCAGACTCTGACCAGGGGGAGGAACTCTGCACGTCAGAGGCTGCCCTGCGCAGGGGTCCTGGCCACCACTCCTTTACCCCTGTCCCTGAAAGGCAGGAGCAGACGCAGGAGGAACTGGCGCAGCTGGCGGCAGCAGGCCAGCACCCACTGCCTCTCAAATCCTGGTTGGTGACCCCCAAAAATGAAGGCCTCCAGCCCACCGGACTCTCCCCCACCCTGCAAGATGCCGTGCTGTCGACAGCAGTAGCAGGGCTCCAGCAATCCCCTGGCTGAAGTAAAAGCATTTTTTTACTTCAACACTTCATACCCTCTGGAAAAGGGCATTCCCCAGGCAGCAGGAGTAGGGCAGGTCTCCTGGCACAGGCACAGGCACGGCAGCAGTGCTGTGGCCGATCTAGTTAAGTTGTCCATGCCCATGGCACGGGGTGTGAAAAGTTTTAAAGTCCCTTCCAAGCATGGGGCAGCGACAGCTTCTCTGGGCAACCTGTGCCAGGGCCTCACCACACTCACAGGGAAGAACTTCTGCCTAAGAGCTCATCTCAATCTGTCAGGTTAAAGCCATTCCCCCTTGTCCTGTCCCTACAGGCCCTTGTCCAAAGCCCCTCTCCAGGTTTCTTGTAGCCCCCTCAGGCACTGGCAGCTGCTCTAAGGTCTCCCCTTAAGGAGCCTTCTGTTCTCCAGGCTGAACCAGCCCAGCTCTCTCAGCCTGCCTCCAGAGCAGAGCTGCTCCAGCCCTCGCTGCATCTCCGCGGCTTCCTCTGCACTCCCTCCAACAGCTCCACGTCCCTCCTTTCCCCTTTCTCCACCAGACGGCGCTGCCCCGCTCTGCTCCGCCGTTCCCGTGTTTCCTGAGGAAGCGGTCTCCCGATCCGGAGGCAGCCCCGCTCCCACGGCCCAGAGTGGGCCTTGCGGGGCCATGGCGGACGAGGGGCAGGGTAAGAGCTGCGTTGCTGGGGGTGCCGCGGCGGGTGCTGGGGCCGGGCTGCCCGATTTGCGGTGCTGAAGGGCACCGCTCGCTCCGCCGGCGGTGCTGAGGGAATTCTTCGGCCTTCGGCGGTGCCGCAGGTGCCTGGAGCGAGCAGGCGGTGGATCACTTTCTGAGGTCGCAGCGCATCGAAGCCAGAGATGCTGCCGCCGTCCGCTGGTTCCACGCCGCCAACAGCAAGGCCCAAGCCAGGGTGGCCGCGAGAAGTAAGTGCAACGGGCTTTCCTGCCCTGTCCCGCCCCGCCCTGCTGTGCCCTGCGAGGCCCATCACAGCGTGGCTGTCTGCCCCTTTGGGCTGCAGGACAGGGGTTGGAGGTGTTCCCTCCGTCAGACAGACTCCGTTAGTTGTGAAAAGGCTGGCGGTTTGCAGCCCCTCTCTCGGGTCAGACGTTCGGCTGAACGAAGCCGGCAGAGCAGAGCCGTGGCTGCAGAGACTTCCGGTGTCATTCACTTGTACTAAACTTACCCACGGTGTCCATAGAATCCCAGACTGGTTTGGGTTGGAAGGGACCTTAAAGCTCATCCAGTTCCAACCCCTTGCCACAGGCAGGGACACCTTCCACTAGACCAGGTTGCTCCAAGCCCCGTCCAACCTGGGCTTGAGCACTGCCAGCGATGGGGCAGCCACAGCTTCTCTGGGCAACCTGTGCCAGGGCCTCACCACCCTTGCAGGGAAGAACTTCTGCCTAAGAGCTCATTTCAATCTGTCAGGTGTTCAGAGTATATTTTTGCATAAAGGAATACAAAATCTGCTTCTGCAGATGGGGCTGTTTTTCCTAATACTGAGGTTAGATCACAGCACCTTAGCACTGCAGCCCTGGCAGCAGTGGTCATGGTGTCCCTGTTCTTTCCAGTTTGATCTCAAATGGTAGGTCACCCTCTCCATTACAGTGACACTCTGTGGATCTGCTCTGACAGACAGAAGATGGGGAGATTGCAAGTCCTCTTCTAGGTGCGGGCTAGTCCACCCAGTGTCCAACAAGCCAGTCTCATACAAGGAGCAGGATGCTGTTTAAGTCATCTGTGCAGAGCTGAGTGCTCCAAACCAGTCTGTGATTCCCAGGTAGTTTTGACTCTGTGGGATAGATCTTCTTCTGGGGCTTTTTAGGATGGTTTGAAACTGTGTAATGTTGTAATACAATGTTGTTCAAACAGGACACTTTTATTACTGCTCCCCCCCCCCCCTTTTGTTTGAGATTATTATAATGTATTCCAGGTTTCATGTAAGCAGTTTAATTGAGTGAATTTTAATTTACTCTCTCTGAATATTGGGGAAATATACAAGTTATTTATGTAATTTTATACATCATTTGCTTTCTGTTGACTGCTTAATTATCTTTTTTATTATTTCAGTCTAAGTAACTGCATATATTGAATTCTCTACAAAGCCAGTGGCACTTCCCAGACTCTCAGAAATTTACTATTATATAAAGCTGTTTTCCAGAACTTGCAGCATTCCTAAGATTTCCACTCAGTTGTGTTTCAGTTACATTTTCCTGGTAGGTGCTGTTTCCTGGCTGACCTTTTTTAAGACGTTTTGGCTGAGATGATCAATTTTGAGAATGAAGTGAGGAAAGTGTTAAAAACTTCTGGTCACCTTTTCTCTGAAGCCCTGTTTTAAGAGGAAAAGATTTGAAATTTAGCAAGAGTGGATTCACATCTTGGATACTCATTTTGGTGTTCCTCGGGGGGGGGTGGGGTGGAAGTGATTACTTGGCCAAATATATCCACAAAACTAATTTTTCATGTAATTCTAGACTTCTAAAGAGTTAAGTGACTAAAGCACCTAGAGAAGCCTAAAGTACCTAGCTTTTGTAGCTTCACAAACAGCAACTTATACTGGGTGACCTTTGTGGAGTTAGGTACACAGCCCAGTGCAGAAAGACTTGCCCTGTAATTAGTTGTTACTCTGAAGCAGAAGTTGGAATTACTGTTTCTGCTTCTGTTAGATCATTCATTTTTTATATCAACAGGTGATGTTCACATGATAGAAGCAGATGTTGTTCTTCGTGGTGGCCAGGGAGGAAATGGAGACCCTATCATGGCTCATCCACCTGAAACAGACAGTGACAACACGTTGAGGGAATGGCTGAAAGAGATTGTCAACACGGATAAAGGCATCAAGCTGGATTTTAAGAGGTATCTCAGGAGAAAAAGATTTTTTTATTGTTTGTGTTCTTGCTAATAAAAATTTTACAAGCAGAGCTGTCTTTTTGGTGGTGTTAGACCAAAGTTTTTCTTTGGTGCAATTTAGTGTAATGCATTTTTTTCCTGAACAGAAGATGATCAAACAGAGTTAGAATTACTAAATGCATCAGAAAAATAAAAGCTTTAGAAGTGTTTTGAACTATAAACAATGATTTCATATTCGGTGAATTAGTTACTTAGTTGCTAATGAGCAGAGTTTTACCATCATGGTACCTATCTGGGAAGCTTGTGGAAAGTTTTCTGCTTGTGGGAAGAAATTAGGAGAGACAGCCTTCTGACCGGGAAGTCCAGCAGTGTCTCCCAGGCTGCAGATGGGGCTGAGATGGCATATCTGCTTGGCAGCACACAAGTCTCTTCTGCTTTCTTGGTGTCATTCTCTGCCATGGAAGGGGAATGAAAGTGTCAAGGTTTTTCAAGGAGCTTCTGAGAAGCTTGCTGAAAAGCCGTATCTGTTCCAGGTGTGCTCAAGTTCATCATGATTTAGAAACATCATCCCGTACTAGTATGAATATCTGTATTTTCCCAGAGCTGTTTATTTTTCCCTCCCCAAAGGAGAGGAATTCTGTTTTCTGATTAACTCCAATACTAATAATTTCAATTCCAGAATTACGTATGCTCCTTTTAGTATCTGCTCTTGTAACACATAAAAATATGGTATTAGATTTCTTCGGCATGGTTTCTAATACAGAAAATTGTTCTTGCTTTTTGTGTAGTAGAGTGCATGTATATTGAAGTAAATTCAGTTTCTTTGGCCTAACTTATGACTTAAAATTTTCAGGGGTTCATTTAAAAAATTATAACCATTAGCTGTTTCATTGCATGTAATGGAAAATACACATGAAAACCCCATATACTTCCTTGAAGAGCCTGAAATGGGGTTCAGAGTGAGCTGAGATTTTCAGACACCTGAAAGCCCTGACTTTAGCTTTGTCTGAATTTGCATGTACAACATACATTTTTGCAGCAGATGGAGAACCCACCTCCACATTAAAAAGAGCTTCATCAGTCTAAGTATGCTATACAAATGCAAACCAAATGCTAGACAGTTGTAAAATGTGATTTTTACCCGTTGTTCTGTGAAATGTAGTCACAGTTTTCACGTAAAAGTTCATGAAAATCCAAAAGATGTGGGCAGATTAAATCCTTTTATTGTTACAGGATCTGTAGATACCTCCCAGGGCAGAGAAGGGAAAGGACAGGAGAAGTAGGCATTTGTTTGGGAGTATTTGCTGGGCTTGGTTGTTTTTTGTTGGGTTTTTGTTGTTTTGGTTTTTTTTTTCATTTTACTTATTGTTTAAATTGATTTTAAAATTATCTGCCTCTTTTCACAAGGATTTCCAGCCAAGTGCAGTGATTTTAAAAGAGCTTTTAAAATCCTGTTGCGTTATAGAAGTCTATTATATAAAAGCGTATAAAAAATGTAAGTACACACTGCTGTTGTAGCCAAATGAGTGATGTTCTTTTTGGATGGCATTTCTTTGAAACTGGGAATATAGGGAAGCAGTTAAACATCATCTGTGTTGTCCAAACAGGCATTCTTCACAGTGCCTTCTCATCCCCTTCCTTTTCCTGGTGCTCCTGTGACACCCAGGGGGACCAGTTTAGGATGTGGAACTAACTAACTCTGCAGAGCAACATGAAGAACTTTCTGTTGGCTCAGCTGTCTGTCAGGTCTGCAAGATTTTGGGAGATAATGCAGGTCCTTGCTGTTAGTAAGGAAATCACAACTCTGACCATAATGATTTTAAATTCCTGAATGTTACATAGAGCATTAATTAATTTGCTGTGAGAGAAAAATACGTATTTTATTTGCATTCATACCCTTTCCCCATTTTCCCACTTTTCCTTTCCTTCCCCTATACTGCTGGTTTTGAAAGTTTTAGTAAGACAGAGAAAGGTTATTGTTTGCCCTGTAGTTATGCTTTTTCTTTTGATTTGAGAGACAAGTGAGAATAGGTGACTTAAGTTACCTTATTAAATGCTTACAAGTGGCACTGCATTGGTTGCTCAAGTGATTACATCTCATACTTAGTAACTACCTGTAGGAAGAACAGCTAATGGGCAGACTTGTTCATGCTGCAACTATTATGCCAGGCTCTTGAGCTGTGGGAACAAGCCCCACCAGGGACAGAATGTTCAGATGGGTGCCCTTTCACTCTGCTAAAATTATCAGAAAATGTTGAGGTTTTGACCTTTTTTTCGCCTAGTATAGGTGCATTATCTTGTGCAGATGTGAAGGTAACTTTCAGTCTGTTGGCTGGATTTGAAATAGTGATAAAAGCTTTAACGCTTAAAGTGCTGTTAGGGTTGGGAGCAATTACGTTTACCCTTTGAACAGCATATAAGCATCATTGATACATATATAATAAATAGAATACATATATTTAAATTCATTCATTTCTAATTTTCCAGATTAGAAAGCTACCAAGTATTAGTTTTCATGTAATACTATGAATACTATCTTCAGTCCAGTGGTCTCATCTAAACAAATCCAGTGGCTCCGTGGATTAAATCCTTTGCAAGCATTCAATATCATCCAAGTCTTAACAAGTTAGAAGAGCCATGAGGTGGAAGTTCACACCTGGAGGCAGGGAAATGAGAAACTTCCAGTACTTTTTACCAGCAGTGGTAGTCACCTGATGGTAAAAAGGGTCCTCAGACTGACAGGTACAGCTTCACTGACATGTCCATCTGGTGTATACACTGTACATTTCCCATCCTCAGTCCAAGTGAAGTGTCTCACCTCACCCATATATTACTGGTACAGCCTAGATGCCCTACGGCCTTCCTTGGAACTTCTTGAACATGCGAAGCACCACTTGAGGCGACCCATTTGGATCAATGCAGACATCCTACCAGGACCTAATGGCAGTAGCTCTGTAGTGGATGCAACAGGATTCCTTGGCACTGTCACCTCATTTTTCCCAAATGTGACCTTATCACTAGGGTGGACAACTGGCTGGCACCCTGACAAGTGCAATAAAGGTAAAGACAGAAAATTTAATTCTGACACTGCGTATTCTGTTTTCTCCAAATTAATTTCATAATTGATTCAAAATAAGCTATATGCCATCTCATAAAAGATGATAAGATTGTATCTTATAAAAGATCCCACATTCTATACATTCTGTATTCTGGAAATGAAGATTTTCAAAATAAGTTTAGTTTTCTACTTCAGTACTGATGTTCTTCACTGAGACAATGACAGTTCTTACTCATAATCATTGAGCCATTTCATTTTAGAATTATGTGATTTTTCACAAAACCCTTATTTGCTTTTATTTTGTCTTCCAACCAAACCATTTTGTGTCCTTATTTTGATACAGACTGTATTTGTGAAGAATTCTTTTTAATGAGGGGGTGTTTACTGCAGGCTATGACTGGGTGATGGTGAAGGAAATGGCTCAGATATGCAACACGCTTCCCCAGCCTGTAACTTTCGCTGTAAGAGCAGCGCTGGTACGACAGTCAGTATCTGAGCTGCGCTGGTTAATCCAGCAGTCAGATAGGTAAGTTTGAGGGCCTTTGTTTTCAGTTGTCTTTATTATACAGGCATAGACTTGTTTATATAAATACAGCTCAGTTATGTGTACATACATTGCCGAGAGAAGCTGTGGCTGCCCAGTCCCTGGCAGTGTTCAGGGCCAGGCTGAATGGGGCTTAGAGCAACCTGGTCTGGTGGAAGGTATTCCTGCCCATGGAAGAGGGTTGGAACTGGATGAGCTTTAAGGTCCCTTCCAACCCAAAGCACTCTGTGATCCTGTGATACATACCCAATTACATTGAAAATACTTCTTTTCGTTTAGTTTATCTTTCAGTTCTTTAATTCTTTCAGTTCTTAAATTGTTTTGTGCACTGATTCTGACTTAACATGCTTTTATGTGAAGATAATATATTCTTTTTTCTCTTTCTGTTTTTTTCCCTTTGCTGTTTTCTTTTTTAATATAGGTACAGTCTCACCATTTGGACAGGAAAGGAAGATGTGTACTCTGTAGAAGATTTGCTTTACATCCGAGAAAACTTTGATAAAAGTAGGGTTTATTATGACATTTTAGAGCCACAAAATTCTGAATTCAGAAAAGCCATAGTAGCATACTAAATAGGGAAGCAGGCAACATTCTCTTTAAACATGAAGATTTCTTGGTCAAAGAAATGTATTTTCCTTACTAGAAGAACTGTATAGAACACAGTTGTGGACATTGGAGGAGTTTTTGCATAACATGCAACTGAAAGGCTTCTCAAATAGAAATTTAGTGCCTTCTTAATAGTTCCTTACTCATCGTCTTCATGCCCCTTCTTATTTATCCAGTGGCGTGTAGCAAAGGCTACTCATGTTACCTGAATATTCTAGCACTTCTTCCATAGAAGCATATAAAGGGGAGAATGGCCCCAGCTTGTACTTGTGGACCAAGGTGATTTGCTGCTAACTGCTTTCATGTAAGCCAAAATCTTTGTGACCCTCAGTCTTTACTAAAGCCTGTTTATGCTTTTTATGGGGGAGGGCAAGAAATAGGACTGTGTTAATTACAGAGCTATGCTGTTCCCAAAGGGGTTATTTTGTAGCTCATCATGATACACTCCATTTTTAATGCTGTTGCAATTTATTAATGTTCTCACTCCTGTGTTTGCAGTGAAGTAGCATGTACCTTTTTCTAGCTACAATTACTTCTGACATGTCTGCTGCAAATTACTGTAATTATTGTATGGTGACCCTCAGGAAATACTCCACACATCAGTTACTCCAGATGAGGTGTTGAGGTCTGTGTTCAGGAGCAGTAACCCTGGCAAATGGGTGCAATAAGCATCTGGGAGTAGTGTCTCAGACTGCCACAGCAGAGTGTACTCATTAAAACCCCAAATAAAGCAGCATTATTTTTTATTGTGCTTCCAGTGTAATTCAAAGTATCATACCCTATCATCTTCTGAATTTTGAACATCTGATTTTTTGGGGCAGTTTTATGTTTGTTTTTATATCCTTATGGCTTGGCTCCCTTGAAATTTTCAGTGATCCTTCTGTCATTATAGCTGCTGCTTTCATTAACCAGTTTTGAGTCCTCTTATTGCTGTAACAGGAAAAAAAGTACTGCATATGCAAAAAGTCTCAGTGAGGATATGTCTAAGCAGAATTAAAATGTGTTTTAAAAAGGTGTTCTCATTACTGTGTTTTTAAAATGTTTGTTGAGGTCAGGTTTGTATTTTATAATGGGCTGGCTTTTGGAGAGAAGACTGTAACTCACACCATCGGGGGCAGCTTATGGAAGTGTTCAAAATACTGATGCCTTCAGGGAAAACATACAGGAATTAATTAGAGTTCATTAGTGTGCGTCCATGTGTGGATTTTGGGAATAAACTGGACTATATGACTAAATCAATATCTTCACTGTTCAGTTTTAGATCTTAGCGTGGTTTTTGAGTGGCTGAACATAAATTCACTTTTTTTTTTGCTTGGGACACAATCTCTGAATTAGATCTGCAGTGCACAGGAGGTGCCATCTTTATGCTTAAGTTCAAAATAAGTGGTTTTGACTTCATGTTGGTAAGTCTCAGTCCACTGGTGCTGCCTTAGGAGTTGGACCGTTGGTACACTGGCTTCCTGAACCCCAGTTCAGATGAGCAGGGTGGCTGAGGTGAGCCGTGCTTTAACCTGGAGGCTGTACAAGACCTCCAGAGGTTATTTTTGTTACAATTTAATGACAAATTTCACCTCTTACATAGTACATACTACCACAGAGGATTTATTCAGACACAGAAGGAGTTTGAAGTAATTCTGTAATTCTGTTTGGTTACTATAAGCTTACTTTCATCTTTGTTGAGCTTTAACAGATGCTTGCAAGGAGTTTAAGTAAAGAATTTGTGTAACATGATGGCTGCTGTCGCCAGGGAGCCTCAGAACCTAATCAAAGTCCCTGGGTTCTTTTGCCCATTCTGTGCCAGCAAAAAGAAGCTTGTTTTAATTGTGTAAAATGACAAAAAGGACATTCCTATGAGGACTGTGCCATCTTTCAACACACACTGTTGGCCAAAGAGAAGGGACTCAGGTAATAGGTGTCCTTAGGGAACATATATTTTGCATATATATATATATACTTTATGTATAAGGTTAACTGATGTAAAGGAGCATAGGACCTCTTTTAAAACAGATTAGTAACTGCATATTTTTTCAGAACAATTAGTCATTAGTATTGGAATTTTATCCCTTTCACTCTGAAAAAAAGCAGAACTGATTTCTTAAGATTTATCTTTGCCAAACCTGGTCTCCTTGAAGGTATTACAGTGCCAGGTGAAAATGTGTGGCTGGGAAATATTTTACAACAGGCATTCCTCCCTCTAATTCTGGATTTCAATGTTAATTAGAATAATAATAATAATACAGTGTGAATGTCCTTATTAGGATGGTTATTTGTGACTAATGTTGGCCTTTCTGTAGCAATCCATGTTCTTGTGACATGAACCAAATAATAGCCAGCCAGTGGAATAATGGTTTACTAATATAAGAATCCAATTATGTATAAATACCTACTTTTAGTTGAAAAATGAAATAATTGTACTGCATAACAGTATGCAGTTGCAGATGCAGAAAGATGAAGGTCTTAATAAGGATCCATGATGGAGAAAAAAACAGGGATTTAATGACTGGTTTATTTACTATTCTTATGTAGCTGCATTAAAATATGGCAGTATTCTTTTGGAAGCACTGCGTAATTGTCAAAGACAAAAATCAAAACAGAGCAACTCCAAATGCCTTTCTCCTTAAAGTAAAAAACAGACAAAAAGTGCAGTGAGGGCTCAATTGAAACTTCTTTAAACCCTGGAAACTGCTTTTTTACAGCATTCTTGTGTTGTGACTTGCTGTCCTTACAGTTCTTAAACCAAAATGTGAAGGATTTTTAGATGATCACTGCCTTTTCTGAGGGCACCACTGCCTGTGTAGCAATTACTTTCATTGTATGGTTTCACACGGCATTTTGTAGAGAAAATGAAAACCAAAAGTAAAAAATATTGTAATGTTTTTCACCTCTTTAAACTTTGATTCCAAATCAGTCATCTCATCAGTGGTGTGTTTTACTGAAAGCTGTAACCTGGTTTGGCAGGAGTGCTTGCTCACAGACATGTCACTACTGTTTTATATAGTTTTTAAGTGTTTAAGGGCTTTATGGCTGTCCTGGGTTCAGCAGTAGCAGTCATTTTTCCCCTTCTTGGTAGCTGGTGTAGTGCAGTGTTTTGACTTTCAGCTCAGGAACAGAGGTGATAACAAGGATGTTTTGGTTTGGCCAAGGACTTTGTGAGGCTCATGCTCTGCCAGGGAGGAGGGGAAGCCGGGAGGAAGCAGAGACAGGACACCTGACCCAAACTGACCAAAGAGGTATTCCATACCACAGCACGTCATGCCCAGGATGTAACTGGGAGTTAGCCGGAAGGGCTGGGAGACTGCGGGGTTGGAGGAGGTATCGGTCAGAGCTTGGTCGGGCTGGGGGGGGCGAGTTATCGGTCGGCTGGTGGTGAGATGATGTATTCTCTTCCCTTGTTATTTCCTTTATCATTATTATCACTGGTGGTAGCAGTAGTGATTTGTGTTATACCTTAGTTACTAAACTGTTCTTATCTCAACCCGCGGGAGTTGCATTTTTTTCAATTCTCCTCTCCGTCCGTCTGGGAGTAGGGGGAGGGCAAGAAAAGATGGGGGAAGTGAGCAAACGAATTACCTGACTGGGTTTAAACCACGACAATGGCATTAATCTTTCTATGAGATAGAGTGGATGACTAACACTAATTTTTCACAGTAAGGTGTGAGAACTAGCCCAGGTTCTTAAGAGCACCTCTTAAGAGAAAAGGTTTCAGCTTGTGACTTTTTTTTACCAAGATGCGTAACGAACATCTGGTTTAATTAGTAAACTTGAAGGTTTCAGGGAGGTATTTAACATTAGAAATTCAGGTCTTATTTCCCACTAGAGCACAGCTCTCATGAGGAGCAGCCAAGGGAACTGGGGTGTTTAGTCTGGAGAAGGGAAGGCTCAGATTGGACCTTACTGCTCTCTACAACTACCTGAAAGGAAGATGGAGACAGGAGATGGCTGGTCTCTGCTGCCAAGGAACAAATGACAGGACAAGAGGAAACAGCCTCAAACTGCCCCAGGGAAGGTTTAGGCTGGATATTAGGAACAATTTCTTCCCTAAAAGGCATTGGAACAGGCTGGCCAGGGCAGTGGTGGAATCACCGTCCCCAGAAGTGTTCACAAATTGTGTAAATGGTGACATGTTCATGGTGACCAGTAATATGGTTCATTGGTGGCCTTGGCAGTGCTGGGGAATGGTTAGACTTGATGATCTTAAAGGTCTTTTCCAACCTAGTTGATTCTATGATTCTTTGCTCAGACAACTGGAAAATGACAAGGATTACAAATTCAGACATGATGGGTGTACTTCCACTGGAGTGGAAGCACAGTCAGCCTCTGAGAGAGGGAAAGAGCTTCTCTCACACAATACTTTGTACAAATTTAGCCATGTTGGAACAAATCTTATCAACTGTTTCAATATTCCTGTATAGAGACAGCCTGAGAAACACTCAGGAGCAAGTATCTTTGGTAGTGACTCTCTCTTTCCTAAGTGGTGTATAAACGGATGTATCATCTATTTGCATGCCCCCTGAATAGGGAAAAAACTTTTATTTATGCATTGTAACCACATCAAGAGAGCAAAACTGAATTATTTTTCCTCTGAAGGAAATGCAACAATAAACATTAACATTAAAGTTTTACATTATTTCTGCATCAAAATGAAGCATAGAATATTGGCAACACCACAAAAGAGCTTCACTTCTTCAAGACATTTGCATTTTCCTCCATTTTCTGAGTGTTTTGTAAGAAAAATGCTTTTTCAGTTGAGAGAGCAGATCCTGTGTGATAATAGAACAGATATTTGGCTTCCTACCTCCACCAAAGACATTGGTACCATTTGATCTGTGAGATTTTTTTTTTTTCCTAAAAAATAATTTATTTTTTTTAAAGATACATCTTTAACTTCAAATATTTAACTTCATTATGAGATGAACAGATTACAAATTTCTCTTTCCTTTTATAGTATCATAAAAACATTTGAAAAGTCTGTTGTT